GGATACACTTTTTGGTGATAATTTAAGGTGCTACAGACAGCATTCACTGCAGATGAAGAAACTTTAGTTAATTTTTTGAGAATGTTATTCTTTAATACCATATAAGATGTGTTATGATAGATAGTGATATATTTATTAGTGTTCCCTCTGTGAAAAAAAGACTAACTAGAAAATGCTTATGCACTTGGCATCATACATTTATATTATATAGCGCTGTCTAGTTTTTTTTACGCACCTCTAAAGCAAAGCATCACAGCATCTGTACACTCCTGTCCACTACCTTTGCAGTTTAAGAAAGAGCAGCTTGGGGAGGGATTTGGTTAAAACACGGCTCACCCACGTGTCTTTAATGGCCCCTCCCCAATTATAGGTGTTAACAAGCATTATGAGATTTCTCAACCAATGGTAAGTGAATATACACACCTGTGCATATTTTACAGTTTAAGTCAAATAGGTGATTTTTGTGTTGCGCTGTTGTGTCTGATGTAGACTCAGTAGGTGGATCTTTATCTTTATGTGCTTCTTCCTCTTTTTCAACGGTTTTCACAACAGATTCCTGTAATAAAATAAATGAGCACTAAATATATTTAAGAAGCAAAGAAATGCCTTAAAGCCTAACTAAACTGAAAACTTAAAAACTGCAAGCAGACAAGCTGTTCATTGCAGAAGAGACCTCTTCTGCAAAAAAATGTGCCTGCCTTTTCATAATCTTGTTTATGGCTATAACTCTGTGTTGGAATTGATTAACCCCCACACACATGTATAGAAGTTGTATCATTCCGGCAAATCAAGATGGCCAAAGATCCTGAGCCAGGTATAAGACACAGCAAAAATGGCATTATCGGCAAGGAAGCGAGGGGAGGGGAGAAGACAAGAGGGAAGTATAGTTCTGTTTTAAAAGTCCTAATCCAGTCATTCTCCTTTCATTTGAATGGATGAGGAAAGCATTAGAGATTCTATCAAGGCTTTAACTAAAAAATAAATAAATAAACACAAACAGCTTCGTAAGCAGTAACAGAATAAGAACAATCAACACTCTAGTCCCTATGTATGTTGTGACAGGTCAGCGCAACGCACTAGCCATGACATGATGAAGGGGTAAGGTTTAGAAAAAGGTTGTAGTTTTGCATCACCAATAATATTTTTATGACATACAGTGAAGGAAATAAGTATTTGATCCCCTGCTCATTTTGAATGTTTGCCCACTCACAAAGAAATGATCAGTCTAAAAATTGAATGGTATGTGTATTGTAACACTGAGAGACAGAATAGCAACAAAAGATTCAAAAGAAATGCATGTCTAACAAATTATGCACAGATTTGCATTGATTTGCATGAATAGAAAGGGAGTAGTGATGAACAGAATGTACATGAGTTCGGCCCAAGGCAGATTCGGGAAACACGACTAAAGTTCAGGTTCCAAATCCAAACCCCATGGAAGTCAGTAGGACAGAAATATATTAAAAAATGAATTGCCATTTCTAGGCTAATATGCTAGGGATTATCAAACAAATGGAACGACAGACTGGGCACTGCCTTAGGGGACATGTATCAAAGCAAATATGGGGCTTTTGATTTACCTGTAAAATTCCATATCTTGGACCATATAGACCTTATATGCCACAGCCTTCAGATGACTGGACACTGGTAAAAGCTTTGCCCTCCAGTGCACCCTCATAAAACCCCACCCACTCCGTGAGATTTCAGTTTTGTAGTAAGCAATGAGAATTAAATACAGTTCGGGGACCAAACCACCAGTCACAGTGGGCAGATCACCGAAAGGGATTTTCAGGGTTTGGGTGTCAGAGGAATAGATTAGGGCCCTGGAAATGCATAACACCCTATGGTTAACTACACTTGTTGCAACACAAGTCCAAGTGAGCACCGAATGCAGGATCCAGGGTCCACAGCAAACATTATAGGCCAGCCCTGCTGATGCAGAGTCAGGGATGTTGAATTTATATCGCCCGACACCCGGGACATAGAGTTCTGGGCACCGGGCAAGTAGGTTTTTTTTAACTTTTAACCTTGCTGCACGCTAGCAGCAGGTCTCACCTGTCAGGTGGAAGCATTCAGGCAGCAGCACTGCTGCAGATTGCTTACACACAGTGCCGCCGCAGATTGCTTACACACAGTGCCAGCCTCTCCTCCCTTCCCGTGTATTCTCCCCCAGCTTGAGGTTTCCCGGGCTCCGTTTGCCCATCTACGGGCCCAGGACCGGCTCACAGCCGTCGGCTAGAGGGAAGGGAGGAGAGTGGACACATCCGGTCCCCTACCCTTCTTGTCCTGACCCGGAAGTGATGTTATGATGTCTTTCCAGGTCCCCGTTGACAGATTCCAGGCCATGTAGGCAGGGAAAAAAATTTAATGCAGTGTGATGTGCATTCAGTAGAGCAGAGGGGAGACATGCAGGGTCTTTTAGACTCTGAATGTCTCAATAAAGAGAACCTGTCAGCAAAAATCATCACATAGACTTTGTCCCCTGTGTGATGAAGAAAAAAAAAAATGTTTTTGTTTTTTTTTAATTGTAAAAAATGAAAGTTACACCCAAGCACATAACATCCCCCTCCAAAAAAAAAAATAAATAAAAAAAAATTTGAGACACCCCCCCCCCCACATACAAACATACACACTGGGGTGCCTACACATGAAAACAACGTCAATTGCAATACACATTACATATCACCGCACACGCTAGGATGAGAGCAATAATTCCAGCACGAGACATCCTCCATAACATTAAACTGATGACCTATAAGGGGCTTCAAAAGTATTGGCTATGGAAAATATAGTGTACTCAAATTCGATGCCATGGGCAGCACAGTGGCTAAATGGTTAGCACTTCCACTTGGCAGTACTAGGGTCGTTGGTTCGAATCCCAGCCATGGCAACACCTGCCTGGAGTTTGCATGTTCTCCCTGTGCCTGCATGGGTTTCCTCTGGGTACTCCGGTTTCCTCCCACACTCCAAACACATGCTGGTAGGTTAATTGGATCCTGTCTAAATTGGCCCTAGTATGTGTATGTATGAATGTAGGATAGGGACCTTAGATTGTACACCCTTGAGGGTTAGGGAATGAAGTGAATGTACACTATATATGTAAAGCGTTGTGTAAATTGATGGCGCTATACAAGTACCTGAAATAAATAAATTTCAAGAGCACACACAAATTTAAGGTTTGACATTTTGGATATCTATTTACTAGGTGAAACCTCATCTTTTAAAAATTTTACAAAAAAAAAAAAAATGTAATTTTTTGTGCCCTAAAATTAACTTCCTTGTATTTTTTACTGAAATTTTGTGGTCATATCATGCGATATAAAAAATTGGAACTACCACTACTTTATTTTCAAGGGTCTCGGATTACAGAAAATATATGTTTGGGGGTTTTATGTAATCATCAGGCCTAAAATTATTTTTTAAACATGCAAAAACAGCTCTGGCAGTGAAAGAGATAAAAGGATAAGCCTGACACTCCCCTTTCCTGACAAGCAGCCAATTGATGCTCATTAACCTGCAAGGTCTCTCCCGTCCCTGGGTGCGGTGCTGGGAACAAGCAGGGAGTTGAGGAGGAAATAAACAGAGCAATGTTAAAATTATTACGTTTAAGTCGCCATAAAGCCGCGTTTGTTCTTAAAAACCCCAGACATTCTAAAAATCACCTTGGTTTTAAATATGGTTTTGGTTAAAATGTATTTTTTTTATCTGGACAAGTAGATTGTCATGAGGGACAAGTAGATTGGGACACCAATTTAGTCCCTGGACAAGTAGTTTTTTTTCAAAAATTTCAACAGCCCCGAGAGAGTCCATGTACAGTTCCCAAGGCATACAGTACATCTACGGCAACTGATCCAGAGACTGCTAGTGAGTCCTGAGAGGTTAAGCACTTGGATCTTGACAGAAGTGTACATCAAAGTAGTAAAAAAAATAAAAAGGACTGGTATAGAAACTTCTCCAGAGCAGAACTGCTCTTTCACCTACGGACTTTGAGTGGATTCCAGAAGGGTGCACTAGGGCATTGCTCCTACCAAAGCTTTAGCCAGTGTCCAATCACTTGAAGGTAGCAGCACATAAACCATTATGACTATAGATCCTGTAATCTGTCCCGTACAATTAAGATATTTTTTTCCCGTTTGGCAGGGAGCAGCAATTTTAGTGTAACACAAAAAATGCAATGTTCCATTAAATAACAAGCCCCTGCCTGTGAAGATGTGCATCTGTGGGATGTAGAGAACCTACTGAAGCAAAGATAACATTTACATAGGAAATTGTGTGCTTAAATTGTTGGCAAAACGACAGCTTCCAGCCACTTATTTCTGTTTATAACCAAAGTGGTTGGTGATATCCTTCATCTATACCAAACCCTTATCCTAGATGACACCAGTCATTTAAAGAAAAAAGTCCAAATAAATGATGTACAGTATATTTATTGTCAATCACATAGTCTAGATCCATATCAATCACAATGGCCTACACCTGCTGAAAGAAAAAATCCCACTGAATGCCAGCACGTCCATTCCCGTCACTTTACTCCTGCCGAATGACAGGTCTGGGGAATGACAGTTATTATAAACAAAAGGGCAGTGTTTCCTGGGCTATATCATTAGTATCAGCATCGCAATTGACGTGGATCAGCAACACTGGACAACGTATTTGATGGGGGATTTACATCATGAGACATTTTTTTTTTTTTTTTTTTTTTTTAGGGCTTGTCAAACCGTGTCTGCCTCTATTTACACCTTTTTTTTTTTTTTTTTTGTGAATGAGTAGGAAAACCATTAGCCACATTGGGGTATGTATACTAAAGAGGGCTTCCCTTCTGCCCACGGATCCTCATAACCACTGGATCAGGGCTTTGAGGAGGACACCCTTGTTCTCTTTAACATGGATGTAGCATGGATTTTTGGGAGACACCTCACTTTTCTTTCTTCCTTTTCTCAGGGTTCCCCCTAAAATCCATACAAGACCCAAACAAGCCAGCTCAGTTAAAAGATCTGTCACACAAATAAGATTTTACCTCTATGTCCATGGTTTCAGGCTCCTTAATAGGGGCATCGCTTTCTATTTCAATTTCACCCTTATGTGTAATTTTAGTTATTGGTCGCCGTTCAACTTCACGTTGCTCTTTTTCAATCATCTCAATGGTCTATAGAGGAGACAGAAGATCAAAGTTTTGCCTTGCTTGGTTCAAACTTAAGAAAAAAATATATTTCCCAGACATGAAAAGGATATCATAACTAAAAATAGAAAAACTGTAAAAGATAAAAAGGGATATAATACACCCTAGCAATTGATACTACTTATGATGTTACATCAAAAATGATTATTTTCTTTAGAAACACTGTTTTAAATTAGGCTTATCTACATTACACATTAACATAAGGCAATTAAATGAGGTCTCTCAAATTGCACAAAAATGCAAACAAGTACACCATTGACTGACAATAGCAACTTAAATGACTTAACTTATTAACCGCTTGCCCTCCTGAACATTTACCACCCCCCTCCCCTTCCTGACCAGGCCGCTTTTTGCAATATGGCTCTGCGTTACTTTAACTGACAATTGCACGGTCATGCAACGCTGCACCCAAAATGAAATTTACATCCTTTTTTTTCCCCCACAAATAGAGCTTTCTTTCAGTGGTATTTGATCGCCAGTGCATTTTTTTTTTCGCTGTAAAAAAAATAAACTGACAATTTTGAAAAAAAAAGAAGACAATATTTTTCATTTTTTGTAATTAAACATGTCCAGTAAAGAAAATGTTTTAAAAAAATCAAATTTCATCATAAATTTAGGGCAAAATGCATTCTGCTACAAGTCTTTGCTAAAAATAAAATTCCAATACGTGAAAATTAATTTGTTTATGTGAAAGTTATAGTGTTTACAAATGGCGGTAGATATACTGGATTTGTTTTTTACTAGTAAGGGCGGCGATCAGCGACTTATAGTGGGACTACAGTGAACATTCTGACACTGGGGGGAACTGACGTGGTGTCACTGACATCCCCAGTGACACCAATACAGTGATCAGTGCTAATAAAAAGCACTGACACTGTACTAATGGCACTGGGCAAGAAGAGATTAACATCTGGGACAATCAAAGGGTTAACTGTGTGCATTTTACTATGGGGCTGTGTCTGTGCTTTCCACTGTAAGCACACTGCTTCATATGGCTCTGCTATGCAGAGCCATACAAAGCAGTGTGCTGGAGCTGACAGGGGAGAGATCTGTATTGTTTACATACAGTTCTCTCTCCCCCGTCGGTATAACTTTGCAATCACCAGATGCCTGCGAGTAATCACCGGCCGGGACCTGGTGATTGACAGCCGAGGCCGTGAATGGTGGCGTGGGTAGAGTTGCGCATGCCCCCTACACGGAAATGCGAAATCATTTATATATACACGTGATTTTGCACACCCCCTGCTGCACTGTAGCAGTATTTCTGCTATAGGGTGGCGGTAAAGCGATTTAACAGAAATGTTTACAATTAATTTTATGTTTAAAGAGCAGACATTACATGTCTGTTTTCCCTTTGCCTCCAAGCTGCCAGTTCTTTAGAAGCCAACTCCTCTGGTGTCATCTTGATGAGATGTTCCGGGGTAATGTCTCCTCTGAGAACTCGCTTGTACAACACCTGTTATATAAATTTAAAAAAAAAAAAAAACATATTTCTGTGTAACCAATTCAAAGCTGACAAACCGTATGCAGATTAAAAATATATATATATAAAAAAAAATTAAAAAAAAACGTACATTGTTTTTAGGATCTTTCAAGTTAAACATTAAACTTCTATACTTATTCTTATACTTAGAATCTGTATCTCGATAAAATGAAAATAACTCCTTTTCGATCTTGGCTGATACTTTGGTAGCTCTTTCTTCAGGAATCTTTGAAGACGATTCTGAAAGTCTATTAAAAAACAAAAACAAGTATACATTTTAGGTAAGCAGTGTTGAAATAATGATTAAGGCCTGGTTCACACTAGTGTGACTTCAAAAGTGACTTCAATCACACAGAAATAGCACAAAAATGGAAATGACATTATTTTCAACAGTGCCACTCATGTTCTTGCAGTGTAGCGTGTTTCTGAAATAGGTACAGGTTCCACGTTGGTGCAGTTGCAGTGCAATTTTGGCCCCATAGACTGGAAACGCACCAAAAACACATGGAAAATGCATGTACATGCGTTTTTTTTTTTTGTTTTTGGCAGAGTTTTGTGTTCAGTGTGTTTGTGTTCTTTTGAAAAAAAACACATGAAATGTGTAAATAACACACTGAAAATCATATCATGTGGCAGCTGAACTAGTATGAATCTAGCCTAAATTTTAAGCATATTCAAATTTATCAAGTCATTTTCTGAAAGCGAAATGTGGTTACAAAAACTTCAATTCCAGTATACTTTAATGAAGCACTGAAAAATGAAAAACAATGAATAACAAAGAATGCAAAAAGCAGATTCCATATTCACCTTTAAATATTACATGACAGGACATCGCTGACTTACAAGTTCTCTGTATGTTTTATTTCTTTATGCTTTACCACTTAATGAGTAACTAGTAAAGTCCTGACCTATATCACTGTTTCAGGTCACACTCTGTTTCCAGAACTGTAAACCAGACTGAAGACCAACAAGTGGATTCCCTCCAGGGCAGAGGGAAAGACACCATCCAATTCCAGCCAAGATACTGACAGGTGGCGCCAGCAACCTCTTGGTCCAGAGAGACCATCTGGATGTCTTGCCCCAAATCCATGCTCCCAGAAATAGAAGGGGTATTATGATGTTACCTAAAAGGTGGCATTGGTTCACCTGAGGCACTTGGTTTCTGATGGACTGGACCAAGGGGATAGCATGAACAGAACAATTATGGTGTGGAGACTGCACACTTAGTGGCAGGCAGAATAGTCATAGTTACATAAATCGTAAGATTGAATAAAGACATCAGTCCAACCAGTTCAACCTGTGCGGGCATGTTTTTGTTTCTACCCTTTCCGATATCCCTGTATATTGCATTTGACAAGATGCCCATCTAAGAGCATTTTGAAACTATCGGCACTTCCCACTGACACCACTGATTGTGGAAGGGAGTTCAACATCCTTACTGCTCTGACCGTAAAGAACCCCCTACGCAGTTTAACGCTGAACCGCTTCTCTTAATTTCATTGGGTGGCTGCATGTCTTCTGCCATGTCTCTGGGTGGCTTTGAACCTGGATTCTTCTGGTTTTAGTACTGCACCTCTATTCACTCTGCCACAGGAAAATCACTTGACTCACTGCAGTATGTACTCTGCTTAGTGCTTCTGCCCCTTGGACTCATAAGCACTACCTGCCTTCCAGCTGCAATCAGCTCAGCCTTTAAATAGCAGGACTTCCTGTGCTCTGTGTCCATTTGTGTGGATTTGTTTCCTGGGTGTCTGGCTTCCTGTGTGGACTACTGGTCTTCTACCTGATTACTCAACTACGCTTCTGCCTGACAATTCTGCTTTCCTCTGCCAGACTGTGTATGATCTCTGCATGTCCTTGACCATTCTTCCAGATCCTGATTTTGTGTCTGTCAGATTTGTTGCTAACCTGTTCTGCCTGACTATGCTTACGCCTTACCCATCAGCCTAAGCTCCACTTCAGACTCTACCAAATATTAGGTAGATCTTCTCAAAGGATAAGTTCACCTTTTAACAAGATTAACAATATTTTTTTTGCAGGGTAAAAAAATGTGCATTTATTATTTTTTGTTTATGGACCCTCTAAAGCATTGCACCAGCGATGAGCAGATTGCTGGTGCCATGCAGGTCTCCCACTGACCTGTCAGCATATCTGCTTGCTCATACATCCCATACAAGCAAGCAGATACTGACAGAAAGGCTCAATGAACTACCACAGCGCTGTAGACCGCTATGGTAGTTCATTGAAAACTACATGCCAACAGCCACAAAGGCTACTGGGACTTGTAGTTTTCCCATTCACAGTATGCTGTGAATGAATGACTTTTTTTTTTTTTTTAAATTGTGACAGCTACAGAGTGGAGAGAAGATCCATCCTCCAGCTGTCACAGCGGGTATGGGGGGCCGGTCAGACCGTAACATGTTGCATGTTACACCTTGAATATGGGTGTAACATGGTAAAAAAAAGGTGAACTTATCCTTTATGCTCCCTGGGGCTAAATAGTTATCTCCCTATGCTAGAATGACCGTTGAGGTATTTGTACACTAATTAAAAAGTGTTCCTTTCATTTTTTTGAGCAGAGTATAGCATCAAGTCAATTAAACTCCTGGGATATTGATCTGGTCAGTTAAGTAGCAGAGGGGGTTGTTAATTAGTTTCAGCTGCTTTGGTGTTAATGAAATTAACAACAGGTGCACTAGATGGGCAACAATGAGGTGACCCCCAAAACAGGAATTGTTTCACAGGTGGAGGCCACTGACATTTTCCCTACTCGTCTGTTTTTCACTAGTTTTGCATTTGGCTAGGGTCAGTATCACTACTGGTAGCAAGAGGCAATACCTGGACTCTACAAAGGTTACACAGGCAGCCCAACTCCTCCAGGATGGCACATCAATACGTGCCATTGCTTGAAGGTATGCGGTGTCTCCCAGCACAGTCTTAAGAGCATGGAGGAGATTCCAGGAGACAGGCAGTTACTCTAGGAGAGCTGGACAGGGCCATAGAAGGTCCTTAACCCATCAGCAGGAATGGTATCTGCTCCTTTGTACATGTAGGAACAGGATGAGCACTGCCAGAGCCCTACAAATGACCTCCAGCAGGACATTGATGTGTCTCTGACCAGTCAGAAACAGACTTCATGAGGGTGGCCTGAGGGCCCGACATCCTCTAGTGGGCCCTGTGCTCACTGCTCAGCACCATAGAGCTTGACTGGCATTTGCCACTGAACACCAGAATTGGCAGGCCAACCACTGGTGCCCTGTGCTTTTCATAAATGAGAGCAGGTTCACCCTGAGCACCTGTGACAGACGTGAAAGGGTCTGGAGAAGCCATGGAGAATGTTATACAGCCTGTAACATAGTTCAGCATAACCGTTTTGGTGGTGGGTGAGTGATGGTCTAGGGAGGCATATCCATGCAGGGAAGCACACCCCTTTACAGGCTAGACAATGGCACCCTGACTGCCATTAGATATTGGGATGAAATCCTTGGACCCACTGTCAGACCCTATGCTGGTGCAGTGGGTCCTGGGTTCCTCCTGGTGCACGACAATGCCCAGCATTATGTGGAGAGAGTATGCAGGTAGTTCCTGGAGGGTGAAGGAATTGATACCATTGAATGGGCTCCATGCTCACCTAATCTAAATCTAATAGAAGACCTCTGGGATATCATGTTCCGGCCCGTCCGACGCCGCCAGGTTGCACCTCAGACTTTCCAGGAGCTCAGTGATGCTCTGGTCCAGATCTGGGAGGAAATACCCCAGGACACCATCCGTCATCTCATTAGGAACATGCCCCTATGATGTTAGGCATGCATACAAGCACGTGGGGGCCATACAAACTACCATTTTGAGTTGTTGCAATGAAATTTCAGCAAAATGGACTAGCCTCCTGCATCATTTTTTCACTTTGATTGATCACGTTCCTAACACATTACCCAGACCATATCAGTATAGACATCCAGCATGATATTTTTCCCCATTGAGATCTGATGAGTTTTCAAAGTGTTACTTTAATTGTTTTGAGAAGTGTATATTGACATCATATCTCTTCTCAAACGTCTCTTCTCCATGGAGAATACGTTTAATGCTTGTAGTCGTTCTTCATAACGGAGGTCCTCCAGTCCCCTTAAGAGTTTTGTTGTCCTTCTCTGGACTCTCTCCAATTCCAGCACATCCTTCTTGAGGACTGGTGACCAGAACTGCATGGCATACTCAAGATGTGGCAGAACCAGAGTTTTGTGAAGTAGTAGAATTATAGCTTTACCACTTGAGTAAATAACCTTTCTAATGCATGCTAATATTCTGCTTGTTTTGCTTGCTGCAGCTGGGCATTGCATGCTATTGCTGAGCCTGTGATGTACTAGGACCACCACATATTTTTCCATCTTGGATACCCCCAAAGGTTCTCCCCCCCTAATTAGTAACTTGCAATCATATTTTTAGCCCCAAGTGCGTTAATTTACATTTTTCAATAATAAACCTCATTTGACATGTAGTTGCCCACCCCTTTATTTTATTGAAATCTTCTTGTATAGTTCTACATCCTACTGTGAAGCTATTGTTCTGCTCAGCTTTGTATCATCAGCAAACACTGAGATTCAGCTGTTAATGCCTCTATATAATTTATGAATACATTAAACAGAATTTGTCCCAGGAGAGAGCCTGTAACCAGTTTTCTATCCAAGTACATAATCTATCCCAGCAAACTTCAATTTATAAATTAAGCGTTTATGGGGAACTGTATTGAATGCTTTTGCACAATCTAGATATACCACATCCCCAGGTCTTCCTATACCTAGATGACAGCTCACTTCCTCGTATAATGTTAGCAGATTGGTCTGACAAGAACAATCTTTTATAAATCCATGCTTATTATTGGTAATGATACAGTTTTCATAAGTAAATTCTTGGATTTACTCCCTTATCATCCCCTCCAATAGTTTACATACTATCAAAGTTAGACCTACTGGTCTGTAGTTTCCAGGTATATATCTTGGGCCTTTTTAAATATTGGTACCCACATTGTTTTTTGCCAATTAGCTGGTACCATTCCAATCAATAAGATGTCCATAAAAATTAGGAATAATGGTCTGGCTATTACCTGGCTAACGTCTTTGAGGACTCTTAGGTGTAAGCCATCTAGTCCTGGTAATTTGTAGATTTTAAAGTCTTTTTCAAACTCTGGCTTCTATTAGCCACAAGGGTACATTCTGTGTTGTGTTACTAAAGACAGTCTTGATTACTATACCCC